AGAAAATAATTTATACTATCAGAAAAAACATTTTTGATATTTTCTTTCACACGAAAAAAATGTTTGAAAACAAAAATAACATAAATAATTTTGCTGTCTTAGAACCCTGTAATAGGAACGAACAAAATCCCAAAACTTCCTCTAAAAATCCCGGTTGTTGTGATTTTTTCAGATTTTTTTATTGCTGGACAGCAGTTAAAAAGCTATTTTTACAATTTCCCACCTTTAAATCAGTCATAACTTTAAACACACTTTGAAAACGACTGCAAAAGTTCTGTACATTTATGTTACACTTTATAACACATTTGTCTACATCATTGTTGCATCCGGTAACTTTCTCACCTTGCATTTAGTTACTTATCTTTTTTAAGCTTTATAATACTCTTTATCGTTAAGGAAAGATGATACGTTTACTAAGAAATTCACCGTAGCAGCGGACGGTACTCAGGGCGCCTTCACACGTCGCCATAGCGGCGCGATTTCAACGGACGGAGCGGCAAAGCTCGAAACCCGCTGCTGAAAGCTACCGCCGGACCGCCGGGGGTTCTGCTGGGGTAGGTTTCGCCGACCCTCCGGCGACGAAGAACAAAGGGACCGCAGCACGTTAAACGCCGCGACCGGCGGCGTAGTGGGAATACCATAATTTAAACCTGTGATCCACTGCCGGTGGCGCGTATGCCCTCCTGCTCTTTTCGTGGCGAGGGTCCGGCGCCGAACGCCGCAAATCCGCTGCACGTAGGAAGGTTTCCATTCAAACCAATGCTCTGCTACGAGCCGCGGAGTTCGGAAGCGCGCAGCGGTGGTGACGTGAGAAAGGGTCCTAGACTGACGAGGTTGTACATCGGTTAATAAAAAATAACAAGAAACGTCTTAAGCCTGTTTTACGCCGTCATTTTTGCATCAATTTTTCTGTACGGAAAGTGGATGGACGTTCGTTTCTACGCGTTGTTTCGGTGCCGAAACTGGATGAAAGTCATTTCAGCGTTTTACATGATCATATCTGGTCTTTGTACGTAATCGTGATGAAAATACTTCCTCTCGACGCCACAAAAAGCGCTGAAGATAAAAAATTTGAACATCGCATCTATGGTATCAAATTAAGTTAGGTTATATTTGGACTGAGCAGAGAATGCAGTGACATTAGAACACAGTACATGATTTATTTCTTACTACATAATCACATCACATTACAATTCAACACATCAGAACGCTCTCAAAATGCATGCATGATAAACCACAGAAAGTTCCGAAAAGTGGCGCCACGAGTGCGGCAGTCAAACTGGATGAACTCTGTACTGAAAAATTAAGCATGCGTCATTTTTTCGTACAAATTACATCCCGTCTGGTCAGTCTCTTTACTGTACCGGCGAAAAATGATGAAAAAATGATCGTGTAAAACAGGCTTTAGGAATGCACTCGCCCCCGCGGGAAAAATCAGATACACCGCAGCTGCGAGCGAAGGGGCTTGTGCCGCGAAGGAAGGACGAGGGAATGACCTCAATTTTGTCCAGCCAATAAAGACACCGTTTGCCAGTCTCGCTGGAATGAACGATAATTATTGGAAAATTGAGTAAAGGGACGGGGACTCGCCAAATCAAACGGAGAGGAAGCTTCGCGGCGAACAGACCGTACGGGAGACACTTGATTTTTGAGAGAGGTTGAGGCGAGTCGACACTTGCAACTTAGAATGTGACAGCGGACGAGTCGAGTTCCAACTTAAAATTTAACAGAGGTAGTCGCCGACTTTTAAGAAATATCACGGCGCTTAGAGTTTACAGGCGTAAGTCGCGGATTGAGGGACCACTAAAGTACAACTGCGGAAGTAAGCGACTTGAAAAGCTCAATTCCGAGTCGGATGGTATGGCGTGTCTGCTGAGCGACCGATGTGACGGCAACTGAGGGGGCGTATGCTGAGCAGTCAGGTCACCGGTGAAATGCTACCTGGATGATAGAGGCTGCGAACGAGATTTCAAACCTTATCCGGTGATGATTTAAAACAATATCATAATCGTGGTATGAACGACCGCGGCGAGGCGCCTACATCACTAGACGGAGCTGCGGGGGAGCTGAGGTCGATGATCTCGCCACGCAGCTGGGGACTTGCCATAGTGTACTGTTTTACCAGCGGTGAGCAGCAGGGTACCAACGGAGATGGGAAGCAGCGAACGTCTCTCTCTCCTAGCTGTCTGGCAAATGACCACAGGTACTTTGTGTCGATGAGCAAGCAGGAAACGATGGGTACGTTAAAAACAAAGACCTTTAAAGATTTTTGTTTCAAGAACCAAGAAAAGAAAAGACTAGATGTAATTTGTGTAGTAGCTGTAGTAGTAGTACTAGTCGTAGTAGCAGAAGTAGTAATTAGAAATTGTTTTAGAATAATTGCACGATGCGACTTTTGGCAAATTTGTATCAAAATTTTCACATAAAATACTAAAATGACCTATTTATCAATCCTGTTACCACCTTTAAAATCCGCTAGTATTATTTTCATGTGCAAATCAAAGATTTAAAACAAACACATATTTAATAATCATGAGATTGTCTACCACAGAGCGTACAGCCAACCAGCTGTTTATGTGGGAGAAATGTATAAAATAACAGGATTTTGTAAGTGTGTTAAATTCAACAAAATAGCAGAGGGATGTGCCCATCGACACGATGTTCAGTAAAACACTGTGTTTAAAATTCTGACAAGGGTGGTTATCATCACAGTATATAGTACCTGAATGAGTTACTGCGTTATATGATATTTGAATAAAATGAGCAAACTGTCTGTAAATTAAAAATAAATAAATAGTTATAAATTAATTTTGATTGTTCAAAGAGTTGACTGCCGCAGCTGGGAAAAGAAACTGGATGTTTGCAACCGAACATTAGCTCAATGCGAACTTTAATAAATCTATCTCCCTAAGTACATCCATTTGCTCTAACCACTTGAGCTATGGAGACAGTCAATTCTTTGAACAGCCTTTATGAGATACGGGCTCCTGTGACTGTTACACTTCACAGTTCACCAGCTGGTTAATTAATGATCATTAATAACAATTACTACATATTAAATAGCAATGGGGTTGTAATGATAGTTGGCAATTGCGAAACGTGTGACATATTCCCAAGTAATTCTTAAAACTTACGATTGAATATATTAGTTACAGAGGAGTACCATCTAAAGTGTACAAGGGATATTGCAAAACCCATTAAGAGATGATCTTGAAATACAAAGTGAAGATGGAACAGGCACTCATGCCTAATCCTCGAATGGAAGAACTCTCTCATCTGACATTACCCAAGGACATTTCTTTCCATTACCGGTTTTTTCCAGTTGCGTATTTATTGGTCAACTCTACTTCTTAAATAATTGCTTGACTAACTCATTGGGCATCAAACCGCGAGTCTGTGTGGTGCCACTGATGGTATCACAATATTTTGGCAATTATTGTTTGTTCTTTCCCCCCCTCCCCAACCATTTTCGCATTGGATTTCAGTTACTACAATGCCATTTATTTGGGATTCTCTTTTCACTAACCCTTTCAAAAAAGACTTGCCTGAAGCACCTGTCAAATCCATGGCGGGTGGCAAAAATTCAACCATGAATTTAATTAGGTATGTGTAGTGTTTGTCAGCTTTGAAGCATATTGTTATCAGTGTTCAAGTTTCTGAACTTGGGTGGTGGAAAGGTGGTGTAAAAGCACAATCCCAACTGACTATGCTTACTCTGCAAATATACATAGGTACAGAATTTTCTAAATGAGATATTTAGGAAAAAAAATCTTGTCTTCTGTGATAGGGTGGAACTACTTCCTGGAACAAATTTCCCCAACTCTACTTGATTTTCCTGTTAATTTTTTTTTTCTGATATGATTTGTGATTTCACAAAACTAGTAGTAAAACCAGTCTTGATACTAATTTATCTTTTTGATTTTGCTGCAACAAATTACAAATTAAAAATAGTTGGTCACCAAATAATAATAGCTGATCAAAAAACAAAAATGCTGTACTAATGTTTATAAGGAATAATATATAGTTTTATAACCCTCTCAAAACTTTCCCTGACTTCCAATGATGTGTCTACAAACTCCATGATTTTCCCCCAACTTTTTCAGAGCAATGATATTAACTGATTTTTCCTGGTTTTCCGGGATTTCCAAAAAGTGGCCATCCTGTGTGCAGAATATCTGCATTTATCAAGTTTTCTACTTCATTCAAAGATTTCAAATGACATCACTAAATATAGCTGCAGAGGTGTAGATTGTGATATTCAGTAAAGTATACTTGGTTCCACACATTCAGGTCATATCATCCCAGGTATTTTTATATCCCACAGGTCATGCCATTTTCATGGTTTTCCCCATAATGTAATATTGACAAAGGCCGAGGAAATTTTTTTGGATATGTTTTAAGAACTAGACTTTAGCTTCAATAGTTATTTATGCACCAAGTCCTCTAAATTAGTCTTTAAAGACTCATCTGGAAGGTTAACTTGGTTCCGCTATCACATTGCCTTGCAGTAAACCTTCTGGCCTCATCCTTAAAGACTAATAGAGGACATGTTACATAAAATGATTTTTGTTATTTCTACTTAATCAGAATAAACATTTCACACTTTCACGAGTTAAGAATTGTCATTACTCTCGATGCAAGGGTTGTTGGTACAGGGTCTTGGTACCGTTTTTAAATAACAATCGCTGTGTGAGGAAGGACCAAAAGAACAAAGGGGGACAAAGTGGGGAAAGGGGGACCAAGAGAGAAAGGGGACAAAATGGAAAAGGGGAAGAAAGGGACAAAATAAGGAAAGGGGGACAGACAAAAGGGGACAAAATGAGCCAATGGGGCAAACAGAGAGGGCCACATGAAATATGGAGGACAAAAAGGACATATTTATTCAAAGATTTATGAGGCCTGGTAAAACCTGAGTCTCATCTAAAATACTTTTAATGGACTCCCAAGCATTGTAACAGCTGTTACTATGGATGTGTTCTTAATCTGTTGTTCAGATGGTTGGTTGCTAAGGAGCTAAGCGCGTACTTACTGACGTAAATAACAAACATATATCTATTTCTTTCAGCGTGCTTCATAATTCCAATAACAATATCTTAACTTATTTTTAATTGTTGGAGTTTATGTAGTATGCTTTGAAACAATTTGTTGTATGCTGATATCAGCAAAACATCACCAAAAATGCTACACTTCCCACGCAACTCTTAGTTTGTTTTTCCCCAAACAATTGAACATTAAGTAATGTTGTACCTAGCTGATTATATGTGAACTATACATAATAGTCATGCCTCCTAGGGTGATGGCATGCAAAAACACCTCAAGAAAACAGTAACATGAGGCAACCCTTACTCTATGCAAAGCAGCATTTACTTCAGGATAAATTTGAAGCTCAGAATTTTCACGCTAGGATTTCAAATGGTGAACGAAAGAAAAAAAATACTTATGTTGACAGATAATTAAATTATGAAATTTAAAAACAATTTTGCAACTACTATGAATCGTCCCATCAGTGTTAGAAAAAACTCAATACTAAAACAAAAACACGAATGACAATTCCATACACACACGACCTCTTTATTAATTACCAGTAGCATTTATCAAAAACCTCCTTTGGTGTAAGTAATCATAGCAGAGTCACAATAACAGATTATTATTATACAAGATGTCAAACAAAACTCCCTAAAATGATTTTGGAACCATACCAAACAAGAAGTCTCAGTTTGAACAGTTGTCAAAAATGAGAATTTTCATAACTTTTGAAGTCATCAAGGTGATTTTCTCACTATTGAAATTATGCGGTACATAAACCCAGCATCTTCAATGACAAATCAGTCAGTTACCTTTATAGTAAGACATGAACGTAATTTGCCATAATTTACGTTTCATTACAGATTCTATTTTAGAAAGAAAAATAATTGTATCACACTCCACTAATTAAAATAAACAGTTTCACAACAAAATTGCCTCCAATTTCACCGTTTTTAAGAAAGAAGAGTGGAAGATGCAGAAAATGAAAACCAACTGCTTAATTCCAAGAAATTTTACATGCAAGTCAAAAGAAATGTTCTTACTTTAAATTAACTGCAAAACAGTATGTACATAAAAACATGCCAGGGTAATGGGCACAGAAGTATTTCCTGTAGCTGATGGTCACTTATTCAAATGTTTCCTTTCAGCTTAGTTCCCCATGACATTTCAATCAACACATATTTCACAATATGCTCTATTATGTTTCATGTAACATAGTTTGCAATATATTTAAACACAATAATATAATTATGGCACAATGATGCAATAATATCCATTATTTCACAATAATAAAATCAATAATAAATTTTAAAAAGTTGATTTTGTAAACTGACACATTTCTCTAAATTTTGATGTGAAACCATACCAAGTGAAAAGGAAAAATATAATTTAGGATGTACCGTTGAGAAAAAATATAGCTTCCAGTGTGGTTGACAAACACAAATTAATAAATTAATACCTGTGATCCAAGTTCCAAGTGGAAAAGATAATTCGTGCCTCACGACTGTCATATGGATTTATGTAGTGATTCACATAAGAGCAAGTTGATTTATGCCATATTCCTTGGCAGTTGAATTCTCCGTCTTCATTGCAGAGTTTAGGTTGAGGCTTCTGTGCTTTCCGATCAAAATATGTACCGAAGTATTGCACTCCAAGCAATTTCTTGCGAAATGATTCAATAACACTATCTATCTTTTCTCTGAACCTACGGTTTGACTTGTATTGTTCTGACTTCTTTAAATCATCACAGCTTTTGTACAAATAACCCCTAATTCGATCTTGTGATCTCCGGAACATAAATTGTTCTTTGGTTTTAGCATAAGTGTCCAAGCCTATAAAAAATAAGAAATCATTTTTTATTTATCTATCTTCAAAAAACAGTAAAAATTGACTGTGATGAAAGGGGGAAAAGAATAATATGTGCACATTTTGTGTGCTCCATAATCATTACCCCAGTCTTTTACTACAAATGGCTGAATTACACATACAGCGTCAAGTATTGTTGGCAACATTTGAAAACTGAAAATACTAACACAAAACGAATTGGCACTGACAGACAGACTACAAATTTGATTTTATAGAATTGCTGACAAAAATCTCATCCATACTCCCGCACCTAGGGAAAACTGGGCTCAAGAAAACTTGTTGCAAAGCGAACCAACATTTACAGACCAAAAGCAAAGTAAGTGGATATTGGCAGAATATGTTAAATAGATCAAGGTAAACTGGTGGAGAAACCAGATCGAAATGGGGATCATTGACCAACTAGCTGTAGTATTGTACTTGTTACAGGAATATCTACTCTTTATTGTACAGCTCAAATGATAGCAAATGAATTTATACATTCATTAGAACAAATATCATGTTTGTTTTTGACGGTTGAAATAATTTACTGGAACGTGAAGCCTTTAGACCAATTATTTTCCTTGCACGAGTCAAAATATAATTGTACAATATAATAAACACAAACTTTATAGAAAAGAACATTGTGGATAGCATAGAAATCTAGATGAATTTGGAAACTGGAACTACAGGACTAACCTAGGAATAGTGTAGTAGTAACATACCTTCAAACCATTGAGAATCATCCTCTACATTACTTCTGTATCTCTTTCCTGTATTCTTTTGTTTTAGAAGCACTTCACCAAGGGCTTTAAATTTGTTTTTCATATCTTCAGTGAAAAATTCTGACGACATTTCCGCAGCTTTCAGGAAATCATGGTTGATTTTTTGTAAGGCATCATAAATAATTCCACCAACTGACAGCATAGAGAGAACGATATTAAATGAAACAATCATGAAAATACATTTTCAATTATTTTTTGTTTTTAAGATGTTACCAGTAAGAACATCTTGTCCTGGCAAAGAGAACAACAAAAGTGTGTTCTGAGGCAATGTAGTAAAATACTCTTCATCATCAACCACAGTACCATCTTCTAACTGCACAACTATTTTCTTTTGCAGTGCCTACAAATAAGTATTAGGTCATATTTACAGTCAGGAACGATTATCAATAAGAACACAAGAAATCGTTCAGCCATGATAAAATTTTAATAAAAATGTATATAAATATACAACTTATGAACTGACATGATCAATGCTCAGCTTTCTACAGCCCTTCTCAATCAGCTCTTGAAGACTTTGGCAGGCTACACCAACTCTTTTGCTGCGACTAGCATCAGTTACCTTATATCCCTACAAGAAAATGTCAGTCAACAGAATGTTCAAAAACCCCCTTGGGTCAATTTACAATCTATTTATACAATAATTAATATGTAATTTAAATGGTTACATTTTCCTCAATGTATAATTGTTTCCCTAATACATCTCATACGTTACATACTACATCATACTACACATTTATCAAGTTAATACATTTAAAAGAGCTTTATTTAACAATAACGCAATCGTACTTACCCTCATAGTTGAAGATAGTTAAATTATAACCTTCAATACATCAGAGGCATACATTTTGTACGTGTTTGAGTACTGATATGTATCAATCATTACATTATTAATTTTGTTATCATCATTAGCTTCCAGCATTTTATAACGAAAAACTAAAATTTGCGGGATCTGGTTTATTAGCTCGTGAAGCATTATAACGAATAAATAGAAGTAAAAAATTCAATGACATTTTCGCACAGAATACTACGCAATAGGAAGCTCGAGAACCCTGTTAGTAGTTCAGCGTCGTATCAGCAGAGCGCAGCACGGTGACATATCGGTCCCGCGAATATTTAACATAAATTTTCCGCATTTTTTCAAGAAAAGTCATGGACACTATATTCTGCGGTATTTAGGTTCAATATACCATAAGATAGTGTAGTGATTATTATTATTATTATTATTATTATTATTATTATTATTATTATTATTATTATTATTATTGTTGTTGTTGTTGTTATTGTTAAGCTTTATATTCTTCTTTTATCATAATAACAAATACACAGTTTATATATGACCACAGCCTTCTGCATAGTCTTATAAATATCCGCTTTAATATAAAGATTTTTTAAACCTTTAAACAATGTCTTCGGATTTACTGCGGTGCTAGAGATGACAACGGGGATAATTCTCACGTGGTTTATATGCCACCGTCTCTTGACACTTTCAACTAGCGGAGCATATACTCGACATACTTGAAGGATTTTCATGTTTGGTATGGCTATGTCGACGAGGTAGGCTTGCATTTTTTTGTCTATTAGAATCAAATCAGGTCGGTTGTGAGGGGCTGTCTGGTCTGTGAGAATTGTTCTGTCCCAATAAAGTTGACATTCATCATTTTCGAGAACACTTTTAGGTACGTAGGGTACATTGATATAAGTTTGTGTTGGTAAGCAATCTCTTGATGCAGGATCTTTCCAACTGCATCATGGCGTTGTTTGTAATCAGTTCCCAAAAAATGAGTGCATCCAGGTGTAATATGGGGGCTGTTTTCCTGTGCCTGGCGTTCATATCGACATCTGTCATCTTTTACCCTAGGATCTCTTACTATTGCTTTCAGATAACTTCTGGTGGGTATGACTTGATCTTGTATTGCCAGCATAGTGCCTTCCGTCTCTGGGAACATCTGACCTGCCATTAGCTAGTAGCTCGACGCTTTCATGTCGGCATAATCTTGACTAATTGTTTACAGATTCTTTTCAAGGCTTGCTCATCCACGTTTCCAGTTTTTGCTATTCTATATAATTATTTCCGTTGTATTCTTGGTAACTTAATTTCAGTGGTGTGAATCAATCCGCTAAACAGACGGAACGATGTAGTCTAGATGTTTCTGCTTCCATGCGAAAGTATTCTCGTCGATATTTTATATGTTGGGACTGTTGGTTGCCTATGTCTACAACACCTCGACCACCCACAATGTTGTGGCAACGTTATTCTTTCGTCTGCTGATTTTGGATGATACTTGTGTTCTTTAGTCATCGATGTGAGCAGTTTTCTTTCGAGGCCTTCGATTTCCGCTGTACTCCATTTTAAAACCTAAAAGAGTCCTCGAGCACAGCGACATCGTCGAATGCCGCATGTGTGGAGCCGCTTTCACAGCCCCGACCCATTAGAAAGCGCGCGAACGTCTCCCTTTGGACTGGCTCATGATTTTGATAAAGGCTCATGATTTTGCAAAATTCTCCCATTTGAAACGGAATATGTCTTTCAAATTGCGTATATTTAATATTCAAGTTACTAGCTATCTAAAGATTGGTTTATGAAAACATTTTCAACAGTTCATTTTCTCACAATTTTAAAATTTCAGGGCAGATCTGTCAGATCACCATAAGAGCCCGTGTTAAAACAACACACTTTACGGTCGCGTTACATGAAAATTAGACGGTAAAATCTATTCAAACTCTATCAGAACATAGAAGAGCCCCTCATCTTTCGATTAATACAATTCAAAAGACATGTTAAACATACCATGCATTTCGTTATAACCACGTTGCGTAGAGCGGTCGCGTGCCTGCAGGTGGTGTGTGAGTACAAGCGGAACAAGATACACGCACCTTCAAGCAGAGCTTCTAGGCCGGCATTACCGCGCTCTGAAAGATCACTCGCGGTCCGTGGCCGGTTTGTTAGGGTACTGCTCCGGCAGTCACCTGGTGTTGATTGGAGAAATACCGATCAGAGCAGCCGGCCGCTAGAACTCTCCTCCAGACTGCGGTTGAATTCGAGCCCAGCTGCGTAGCTTGTTTCGAAAACCCTGCCACCGACGAGACTAGAACCCTACGACCTCCGGGTCTCCTCTAAAGTCAGCAGCTAAACTCGAACTAGCTGACAAGCTAGTGTCGAATATCGTGCCACCGTCGGGACTTGAATACTAATCGGGAATTAAATACTAAGAAGAACAATGCGGCGGCGATGGTGTAACGGTTAGAGTACTGGACTGTTGTACCCAAGTTGGCGGGTTCAAACCCGATCGAAGCCGTGGATTTTTAAGGGCGAAAAAATCCTTCGTACGCCTTCCTTCGGAGGGGAAGTAAAGCCGGCTGTCCCATGTTCGTAGATTTACTTGCATGTAAAAGATCCTCAAGCCTAAACGACGCCTCTGAGCTAAATTCAAATCGCCTGTTTCTCGCCCAAGAAATACCTCCTTTCTCTCCTAGTTGGTGGAAGGAGCGTAGCGAAATTTGCGTGGTCAGACGGAAGAGCGGGCCTGATGGCCCGAGTCTCGCCACGTAAAATAAGGCAAATTCAATTCAATTCAATTCAACAATGCGTTCTTGGAAACCGTCTGCTTGACAACACTGAGCCCTCTACAAAAGATAATTTGCATTTTTTGCAGTTTCAAGTCCTCGTGCTGTTTGTGAGTTGTGTGCTTTTAAAAGAAATCAGTAAGAATAAATGCTGTTCCAAAGGATAGAAAAAACGAAACTATACAACACATAAAGGAGTTCAAATGCAGAGAGAAACATAATGGTAGAAACGGTACTCCTGGACCACGTTACGTACATGTCTCCATGTTTATCCATCAAACAAATGTGGGAGACGTATTAAAATAAACAACGACGTGGATTACACGAATGCCATGGGTTGGAATGTGTCTCATAATTTTAATTTAGGATTTGCCTTTACATGATTGGTTAGGATTTGACTGACATTTGTTGTGAATGCATCAGATTGAACACTGAACTGGTAAAAGATATTCTTTTATGTAGGCAGGTATCTGTTGTTCGTCATGCTTCATCCCGGGGACTCACAAAATGTTGACTGCAGATCTTCTCTCCATCTTTTCTGAGGTATTCCAGGGTTTCTCCATCCATATGGTATCATATCCCAGGCTACGTTCACCAGTATATCACCGCTCATTCGTGTGATATGGTTATTCCATTCTTTTTCCATTCTTTTCACAAATTTGGTTACATCAGTTAATTTACATTGTTTTCTTACATCCCGATTTCTTGGTCACTTCTGGTCTTTCCTACTATCGATTGTAGTGTGTTTATTTATACTGATCGGTATAGTTGTTTTTTTCTTTATCAGCTCGGGTTTTAGCTCCATATGCCAAAACAGGTCATACTATTGTCTTGTATTTTAACTTTACCTTCTATGCTAAGGTATTTATTTTTCCAAGTTACATCTCTTAAGTATGGCTTACTCCCTCACTTCTTTGATGTATGGCGATCACTGGATATGTCCACTCCCACTTCATCACTTGCTCGATGCCTTTGCCTTGTATTTCCAACTTACATCTTACAGGAATTATATTTCTCAGTGTGGTTCGACTAGGACGAAGAAATAACCCAATGCTTTAATCTTATTTTACTAAGTGTATGATCACTTCCTATGTTTGCTGAGTTTAAGGTTCGCACATCTAGTGTTGGAATAAAATGTCTATTAGTTATTATATAATCGTTATTGACTGTTACTCTTGAGAACATAAAAATGCATTCTTATACTTGAAGTCATGATCAAAGAAGGTATTATTGATACGCAAGTTATTTTGAGCACAAAAGTCAATTAGGAGATCTCCATTATCATTATTAACATTCGCTTCGAATCCTTGTTTTTTCCATCTAATGGATTATTCCACTCGTGAATTCAGGTCCCCTGATATTAGAGTGCATTGATTTTCTGATATTTTGTCTATTAGATTTTGTAGGTCTTCATTAAAAGCTCTTCGTTTTTCTCTAGGTTTCGCCATATCTGGAGCATATACATTAATAATATGGATACATATTTCATTTATTTTTATTTTTGTTCTAAGGTTCCTCGGTTAACATAATTTAATGGGTCAATACATTGCTGGCATTTTTTGTGTAGGTGTGTTCCTATCCCAGCTGTAGCTCTTTCATTTTTACTTCGTCTACTATAGATCAGGATGTAGTCATTTATGTTTTTTTGACATTTAATTTTCTTTTTTTCTGGTATGTTAGATACATTTCAATTTCTTCTCTGCGATCTCCATAATTATTTCCTGACTTTGTCTACTCCAAGATTTAACATTCCGTGTATATATTTTCATTACTCCTTGTTTCTTTCTTCGTTGTTTCCTTTTCCTTTGTGGGGTCGTCATATTGTATGAAGTTCTGAGGCTTTGCGTGGTTCCCTGAGTAGAGTTTTGCTTTACTCAGGATGGGAGCTAACATGACCAGAAAATCCCCTTTCTCCGGACTTGGAACCGGTAACTTCGGCTACTCAGGTACTCGATCCTACAGCGCCCACCGCAGGCGGAGTTGCAAAGGATCACGAGGAGATAAAGAGTTGGATTGAAAAATACTTAGTTGACAAAAGAAGAAAGAGTTTCCGTTAAACAAATGAACCTTTAACCAAAGAAGCGTTACTATTTCAGTTGACTTAATGCAAAATCAACCACTATCTTAAACTAATATAGGAGTATATTTTCTTGTTAAATGTGGTACAACACATTTGCTGGTGAAATTCATAATTCGTATGCAAAATTGATTAGGGAAAACGTCCATGTCTACATTTAGTTAGAGTCGAAATATGGAAGATAATCAAATGAAATTATTTCTTGCGGGTGGCATTTTCTTAATTGTGAGTTACTAACAACGGTTCCAGATCTTTCGAACAGAAGTGTAGTTCCTTGCATTTTTGTGATAGTTGTACCTGACTGAACAAAAACTATGCGATGTTGATCATGATGAAATTCTGAGTGAAGGTGTCTTTCAATGGACCTTTCCCATTATAGAGCGTTCTTATTTTCCAGCAAACAGAGCCAACAAACAACA